TAACTTTTGGAATGCAGATTGTTTTACCTTCTGTATGTGTCTGAGTGCTCCATGGCTTCAAAAGGAGGTACGCCATAAAGAAACTCGTAACAGAGAATCCCAAGGCTCCAGATATCTACACTAGCATCATGTTCTACGCTTTCGACTGTAAAAGAATCCAAATGGTCAAGGTTAAAATGAATTCAGATCAAGTCTAGAATTAACTTTCAAGATAAGTCTTTCTACTTTACCCATCTCAGGAGGAAGGTAATCAAGCGTGCCACACATTGTCCTTCTGCGGTTAAATGTGTGTACCGACCAACCAAAGTCTGCAATCTTGAGCTCACCCTGATATTGTAAATCCATGAATACTATTACTAGCTAGTTTCAATATCAAATGGATAGAAGTCAATGCAAAAAAGTGTAAAACTTATTACCTGAGCACCAATTAACAGATTTTCCGGTTTTATATCTCTGTGTATCACATGCTTGCCATGGCAATAGATGAGAGCCCTCGCCAACGATGCAACATACTGTCACAATTAACATATAATGATCTCAGTTTTGCAACATCAAAATGTTCAATAAAAGTAGAAGGAAGGAAGGACTAACTGTTGCAGCTCGTCTTTCGCTGAAGTATTTGCATTTCTGAAGTTCTTTGTAAAGTTCGCCTCTAGCAGCATACTCAAGTATCAAATAAACTCTTTTCTGCAACAAATGAAAAATATGTTATGCTCAAAAGGGTGGATATTATATATCTGTCAACAAAAAAAGGAGAAACATTTAACTTACCTGATCATAGAAGTAACCATAAAGCCGCAGTATATTGGGATTGCGAAGATGAGACTGAATCTCTACTTCTCTTCTGAGCTGATGTTCAACTTGAGATTGTTGAAGCTGGCTCTTGAAAAGAACCTTTAGCGCAACAATGTGATTGCTCTGAATCATATTTGCAATATAAGTTTGAGATTGGTGTTATTAAACAATGAAGGATCTAAACAAATGTTAAAGTTTGGATTCTAGAACTAAGTCCTAGTACATAAACAACAAGTTACAAAATTCTGGAGATCATTTAATGAATCAAACAGATACTGACCCTTTTCTCTCTGGCGAGATAGACATGACCAAATTTGCCTCTACCAAGAGGCTTTCCAATGTCAAAATCACTCAGATTCCACCTCTTTTGTGCAACTGTAGAAGCATCTGAAGCCTCCTGATGACAAAGTGCAAAACCAAACAGAATGAGATATTACCAAATCTGCTTAGAAATTGAGCAATTTGAATTGTAACCATTGTTCATTTGCCAAGAAACTGTAATTGTCAGAAATAAAGTTTTACTCTTGATGAATCCAAATTTCGCTTCCTCAAATTCACAAAATCAAAACGATCTCGCTCAATTCAAACCTAACACAAAGAAAATCGGAAAAAGAGATTTTCTTTTCACCCCCCCCCCAAAGAGAATCATCAACAAGCCACACAGCGATAATCCCAGATCTCATCTCAAAGATTCAAGAAGAGGATAAAATCTCTCACAATCCCTAAAAACTTGTTTGATATACGAAGGAATCAACATCAGGTCAAGAACACGAAACAGTTGTTCCTTACCTTCTCCTGCTGCTGCTGTTGTGTCTCCGTAGCGATCGCCATAGAGAGAGATCGACCGGTCCGACGA